AAGGACGACAACTCAGTTATCGTAGTAAGCAAAGACAAATCAAACAGAGACAATAACAAACTCGTATGAATGAATCTGTTCGTTTTAAATCATGTCCCCAAAAAAATCGATCAAATAATAGATGAGATACAAAGTTGCCGAGAACAACGCTTACGCTTGCTAAATGATATTCGTAACTAATGACAGGTAAGCATGAGCGAATGGGATTATTTTCACTTGCAACAGGTTCAAATAAAGAACTGTGATCTATGATTATGACTAGTTATTAATACCCGGAGAGGTTGAAATCAGTCAGTAATGAAGATAACAATATCAAATTATAGTATCAAAAACTATGCGATAAAATTTTTTGTTGATTACATTTCTTCATCGATTCTGACTCAGTTTTCCACGCAAACACCATGTAGAAGATGCATTCCGTTTTTCCACAGCTCCTCATTCGATATCGGAGAGTTTGATTGATCATTGTAACGATCACACAGTTCGCTATTTTGCACTGATTCCAAATGTGTTATTGGTTTCTTGCGATCATCCTCCGTTAAACGAAGATCACTTGAATGATTTTTTGCTTCCATATTATTATCCATTCGCATAGTTTTGTGCAATGTTGATAAAACATGAATTTAGAATCTGTTTTACGAATATAACTTGTTGCACTGTTCCAATCAGATGTGCTATCTTCCAAATGGTTAGCCAACAGAAGGTTAGTTTTTCAAACTGTTGTGATTATGTACATTGTAAGAAGACAAAAGATGAAGCTGAGAATGGGCGACAAGATATGAAAAAGGCTTACATCTCTCGAATCAATATGAACGGTCCATGCAAAATTGATTTAAAAACTCAGTCAAACAAAAAAACCCCGACATTGTACTAATTAATGAAAACATTGTAGTGATGAAAGTATCTGATTCCATATCTCAATTACGAAAAATGATACCAATCACATATTTGGGATCAATACAAAAAGTCGATCTAGAAACGATTAAGAAACCAACTCAACATAAAAAGACCTGATACTGTCAACAAGTGTTCACATTAGAATGATTGACTTATCTGATACCATAATTTGGGTGGGAGGGGAAGATGCGATGGAAAAAACAGATTGTATATTTGCAATTAGTGCAGAAAACCGATACAGAATCGACTACAAAATTCGTCCACAAAATTCAGCGTCATAAAAAGTGACCAATCAAAATAAATCGGTATGACAGTGTAAACAATGAAGGTCGGGAAAAATGATTGTCGATTAAAAGGATTACAATAAGGGAACAAAATAACTGGCAGCCATATAGACAAACAGACGATCAAAAGAATATAAATGATCATGCTTTTGGTGCGATGTATAATGCATTCGGTGAAATGCACACAATCAAACAATGAAAACGTCAACAACGACAGAATAATTGACGAGATAATAAACAAATAATTCGGATTACACTAGTAGCTGTAATAGCTTTTAGCAATAATGATAAGAAAATACAATTTGAACACGTATATGATGGTATAAAGAACAAGCAATGGTCACGAAATGGAATAGTGGACTGACTGCTGTGTGAAGTGGAGTTGAATTAGCAGTTATGGTATTTGTGCGAGGTGCAGCAGCACATGATTGGATGTTTGTTGACTCGTTCATCGACCGGTTGCACACTCATCGAAGCGACGTTCATAGTGAAAGACATACTCATACAGATAAACACTATTCGCTATTGATTATTTATCAGCAGATCTGCAATAACTCGATCGAACGATAAGTCAAAGCTGAATATGAAACTTTACTTGTATCAACAAACAGTTATGAATGTGACCTTTTCTTGAAGAATCTTGCGAAGAAGCCACCTTTCCCATTCGATACAATTGTACTGGAACCTTCACCAATACAATTTCCAGGTAGCTCTGATCTTAAATCTTGCACTAACACACCATTCACTTCCATTACGTTCAGTTCTTGAAAACACTCGGTTTCAATCATCTAAATTTATCATTATCATCCAATATTATTTGCTATTGTTTCTTTAAAATCGTTCATTCATTTATCATAGAAAATAGTATTCGTCGAATCAACCTAATTTCCAATTTACCTCATTTTGCCATGGTATCGAAACACGACCAGTATTGAATTTATTATAAAACTGATTGTCAGAGGCGTCTAACCGTACACCTTTCACTGTACTGAACTGTTCTATATCCAACACATCTTTCGCGTACACAGCTCGAGGATCTGGACAAAACGGAGGAATTAACTGAAATTGTTACTCATTGTTATCATTATTTGTTCTGATAATTTATCGAAGGTACAGCCAGGCTTTTTCTAAAGAAGAAGGAGCAAAAGGAATCCACATCTTCTTCATAATGAGGCGAAAAACCGGATATTGGGAAAGATTTTTCCACCTTGGAGATTTCCAACTTTTTTCCTTCTTCATTCCTTTCTTTCCCTTTTTCTTCCTTCCTACGAATAAGCGGAAGATGAAATACAGCAAGGGAGGGGAGCGCACCCTTCTCCCTCATCATTAGTGCTACTATAAGGTTAAATAAATATCCAAATGAAAACAACGAACCTTCCCAGCCTCCATTTTCTTCCACGGTATTGGTTCACGACCAGTACTGGGATCACCATGAGTGAAGAATGGGTGAGCTTTCATTTCATCAGCACCATCTTCTGGTCTTCCAACACGTCTACAACCAAGTCGAAAGCTTGGTTCTTTATGTAATAAGCCTCTATAACTACTTGTTATTAATATTATTCTTACATAAATACCCTATAAGATATACAAACCTGCATAATGTTCTCGCGGCTTCACTGAACTTATCCGAATATTTTTCTTGATCCTCACGCACCCTTCTTTCAACCTCTTCACGTTTCACTTTTTCTTTCCGCTGACGGAATGGAGCCTTCAATGATAGTGCAATATTTATGAATGAAGTGAACATAAGGCGATTAAGCAATTGTTACCTTTCCTTCGATCATCTCATATATCAAACAACCAACACCCCACCAATCAACACCATATGAATATCGTTCGTTTTTTACTATTTCTGGCGCTGCAAATTATCACTTTTATTGCATTATTAACACACACACACACACACACACACACACACACACACACAAAGTCTAACCCATATATCCGACAGTGCCCACTCGACCTCTAATTGGCTCATTATCCTTCAGTTCCACTGCTAATCCAAGATCTGATATTCGTACATGACCTAAAAATGAACATTAATAAAATCTAGTAGAGAATGAAAACAAAGAGCTGTAAAAAAAGAATACATAAAGTACAGAACCATAATCATCAAGAAGAATATTTTCGGGTTTCAAATCTCGATATAAAATTCGTTCAGCATGCAAATGTTGTAGACCGAGTGTTATTTCAGCAGCATAGAACTGAACACGTTTCTCTTCGAAACCACCAGGCATCAGATTGTACAAATGAAACTTCAGATCACCTCAAATTTAGCATTCAATTAAGATACACACCAAATAAAAGTATTTCCGTAAAGAATTAAGCCAATTCATGAATATTCAAACCTCCATTCATTAGCGTTAATACTAGACAAAGTGCATCTTTGGTCTCATATGCATATGCCAGACTCACCTGCAATAAATCAACACAAATAATACGTAAAAGACATAAACATTCATCGATAACACAATCAAAGTAAACATGACTCACAACAAAAGGCGAATTAATTTTTTGTAATATTTGTTTTTCATTCAAACTCAACGTTTCGGCATGTCTCTTCTTCACTCGTTTCTTTTCCAGTTTTTTCAACGCGTACATCTTACCAGAAGCACGAACCTATAGAGTGCATTGTTAATGCGAATAGATGGCACGGCAACACAAGATAATAATGATAATACCTGACAAGCACAAACTTCACCGAATCCACCTTTACCGAGAACACGATAAAGACGAAACGTGTGCTTATCGACTGGTCTTTTCTCCAACCATTTCCATTGCAAATAACGATGAAAATATTTCGTTTCAATAAATTCACGAAACGGTTCTGCAGCAAGGAATGATCGCACTTGCCTATCAATATAATCATATTAATAATAATAATAATAATAATACTAATAACAGTAGTAATGACAATTGTAAAAAATAATCATGATAATAATAATAATAATAATAATAATAATAATAACAGT